CATAAACACATATTTTTTCTCTTTTCCTAAAGAATATTTAAATAATAACAAAAAGGTATATAAACGATATGATAAATATTTATTTATTAATTTATATTTATAACATATTTATAATATATTAATAATATAATAATCAATGTGTAACAATACATATATCATTTTTATAAAATATACATTAATGCATTGCACAAATTTAAGTAAAACAAGTACAAGTAAGTAAATTTAAATAAATGAAAAGAATGAAAAAGACTCGACGGCGTTCTTTTCTCATTTTAAGTTATTTTTAAGTTTTAAGTTTCTCAAAAATTTTAGATATTTTAGATAGATTTTTAGAAGCTTGCCTGGAAAACTCTTTTGCATAATGAAAACATCATCTTACACAATTTTTAAATAAGATGACATATATTTTTTATCTAAGATAAAGATAAATATACTTTGTATTTCTTCATCTAGTTAAAGATAAAGATGATCTATTTCTTTATCTAGATACCAGCAAACACTGATTATCGCCCACATTAAAAATAAAGCTTCTCTAGCCTTCTTCTTCACGATAACATCATATTTTAATAATATTTAAATGGGAGCAATTATTAACAACGAAATTTGAATCATTAAAAATAAAGTTATATTAATTCCTACATTTCTCCCCAATCGGATAAATATTTTAAATTCTTCAGTATAAATTTGGAAATTATATCAATGAAATAACGCACCTAAATAAAGCTATGTTATTGCATTTTTTACAAATTTCTTAACTGATAATCAGATAGTTTTATTTATATGTGTTATTTTTCTCCTGGATTTACACATTTCACACATTGTTAATTATGTATCTTATATGTTATTTATTACAAAAATTATTTTCTGCAAAGCAGATATATTATTGATGTTAAACAATAAATTATTATAGAAATACACTCAGATAAATAAATTTAATACCATCATACATCGCCTTAAATAAGTGATCAATAACTGTGGCTTGCGATGATTAGGATTAATGATGTATTTGTTTATTACAGATATACTATTACGGTATACTGCAGCATAATTATCGGACAATTACAATATAGGATAATATACGATGTGTTTCTCTATCTGCATGTCTCTCTAACACATTCATTAACTATCAATCAAAATTAATATACAATGATATTGATAAATTACTAAGTTATAAATTACAAATATTTATAATGTCGGCCGATAATATTGTATTATATATATATTTATATACATACTTAAATAATAATAACGTACTAAATCTCGAAACTTATTCGTAACAGTGTCATACAAGTATAATGTATTCTAAATATTCAGTGCAATATTTAATACATTTAAATTAATAAATAATTCACATATAATGGAGTAAACTTTTGTTAGTAAACTTGTTCTCAATATGAATATTATTAACTTGTGTCAATATTGAAATAAGATATTATGCGATTTTTCACAATTAAACTTTAGATTTAAGACTTATTGCAACTCACAACAGTTATTTTATCAATATATCGATAAAATACTATAACATTATATATAAAATTTAATTTTATTATAAAAACGAATTAAAATAGCTCAAACTTTTTGTGCTTACAGCATTAATGAATAATATAGAATTAATATATTTATATTTTTTATAAAAAAGGTTTAAAAGAAAGAGAAGATTTAATATATAATAAGATTTTCGTCAATTTTGAGTAAAATTTTTTTAAAATAAAAATATTTTTTCTCAGATTACTTTAGAACTTGAAACAAAATCTTGATTTGATTTTTAAATTAATCAAATAATTGCGATATTATTAAGAAATATGTATACAGAACTCTTGTTTTGACAATCATTTTTAATACAAATAATAAATTACACAGGCCTGCGACATTTTTTTTAAAAGATGCAATAGTGATTTCCGACGTAATTTTATGAGCTGAATTCGAATCTGGCCGCCGAATTTGCGTAGCACGTCACGTTTTTGAGTAATTTGTAATTGAATGGCCCAAAAATCGCTATTTTGGCCAATTTCATGAATTTATTGCGAGGAAACCAAATTTTTTAAAATATTTCTTTCAATAGCATCGTATAATACTCACTTTCGCCTTTCAAATTCACTTTCGGTTACTGCTGCACGTTTTTTTTTCGCTGACAATGAGATATATAAGTATGACGTTGCAAGAAAATTTACGTTAAAGAAAATTTATATAGACATCAATATGGTAGATCCATGATCTTGAAATTTGAAAAGACTGACATATGTCAGGTTTGGTTGGCCAAAAAAATATTGTAAAGAAATGTCTAATACAGTTGTTACACATTTTGATAAATTTTTCTAAACTTTATGCCTTTTTATTGTGATTCTATTCGCCATATTGGATGCGCCATTTTTAATTTCAAAAGGTGACAGAAGGTATTTAAAAATGTATATTTTTACCCTAATTTTGATTCGTAGTGAGATAAAGAGGTGCACGGTTGATTTAGAATGGCTTATTAAATCCCTATGTATGACCAGTTTTATATCTGAGCGAAAAAACATCGTGCGGCGGTAATCGAAAGTGGATTCGAAAGATGAAAGTGAGTACTATACGATGCTATTGACAGAAATATTTCAAAAAATTTGGTTTACTCACAATAAATTCATGAAATTGGCCAAGATAGCGATTTTTGGGCTATTCAACTACAAATAACTCAAAAACCTGACGTGCTACGCAAATTCGGCGGCCAGATTCGGATTCAGCACACAAAATTACGTCAAAAATCACTATTGCATCTTAAAAACAAATTTCGACCCCCTTTTTTGCAGGCCTGTGTTATTATATTGAAATATGCACATAATTATCACATCAATTATCTTGTTTAAAGTGAAGCAAAAAAAGTGAAGCTTTTGAATTAAGTCAAAGAGATATATGAATACCTACTATTATACAAGACTTTCTCCTCCAATGGAAGAAGATGATCATAAATATAAGGATTAATAAGATTTATTAATCAAAGCATCAGTTTACTATCGAAGCTGCGCAAATGATTTTATCGTGATGCATACGTATAAGCAATGAATTGCGATCAACGCGGAATCGTGCTCAACATACTCGGTAATCGCGCATGGATTAACGCGATACGCGGCTTCCAAGCCCTGTAAAATGAATAATTAATATATTCAAATGAAACGCACTTAAACTCTATACAGCCACTCATCCGCCACCATCCTTCCACCATCCTAATATGTAATTCTCATCCACAACGTGAGTGAATGTACACACACCTCCTCACGCGCATTACCATCGATCGTGTAAACAGCAGTCTTTGCGACCGAATCCCCGGAAGGGAATGGATAAGGGAAGTAATCTTTTCTGTAAGTCAAATGCGCCGAGCAAGACGATGATAATACAAGCCTTTTTTTCTCCGGAAGCGTTTGCACGATTTTTCTCGGGGAAGCAAATGATTGCGCAGCAAGATAGGCAAAGATGGAGTAAGACAATACACGATGTAAGATAATGTTTCTTTGTTCAAACACGTTATACACATTATTCAAATATTATATGTTTTTATAAGAGAAAAAGAAACAGAAAAAGAGAAAGAGTTTTTTTGAATCTTTTGAATAAGTCTTTATTTTCTCTTAACAAAGATGTCGATATTTTATCAACAATCTTTATGCTATATGTATTTGAAATTAATTTTGTGAGGCTTAAGTTTTGTAGGCACAAGTAATTGTAGAAAAAAATAGAATTGCATTTTATAGTTTTATACAATGTTTATTAAAAAATCGTTTATTAAAATAACATAAAATTATTTAATTAAAATAATATAAAATAATTAATTAAAATAATATAAAAAACAAGATAAAAAATAGTCTTGCGTTGAATTCCGATAACAAAATAATAATTCGACACACATTCAAAAGAAAATTTGCCATTAAAATAATAAATGAGACTGGATATTCTTAAATATCTAATAAAGTCACGCGAAACACATTTTTTATGTAATTCTAGGAAAAGCGAGTTCCATGACACTTTTATATCTGTCCCATAGTCTGTAACAATCTCTTTGTAATTTTTCTAATGTAATTAATAAATGCAAATGCATGACAAGAAATTTCGCAATTATATATTCAGAATGTTTTTTCAAAATATTTCTTATTATTTAAAAAGGAGCAGTGTTTGCTGATATCTAGATAAAATTATCTAGATAATCATCTAGATAAAGAAATGGATAATCTTTATCTTTAACTAGATGAAGAAGTACAAAGTATCTTTATCTTTATCTTAGATAAAAAATATATGTCATCTTATTTAAAAATTGTCTAAGATGACGTTTTCATTATGCAAAAAAGTTTTCCAAAAATCTAAAGCAAGCTTCTAAAAATCTATCTAAAATATCTAAAATATATTTTTTATATTATTATTACTAATATTTTATAAATATATTATTATTATATTATTAATATATTATAAATATATTATAAATATATTTATAATATAAAAATATATTATAAATATATTTATAATATAAAAATATATTATAAATATAAATTAATAAATAAATATTTATCATATCATTTATATACCTTTTTGCTATTATTTAAATATTCTTTAGGAAAAGAGAAAGAATATGTGTTTATGATTTTAATATTCCATTTATAATCTCACATTTTTTACAAATTATTTATAGTCTTCTAAAATAAACAAAAATATCTAGATAATTATCTAGATTATCGCAATAATTATCTCATCTTTCATCTAGATTAAGTAGAAGCAAAATCATCTTTATCTCATCTAAAATTAATTTACGGATTTTTATCCTTATCTTTATCTAGATAATTTTGAAATTATCTACAGCAAACACTGAAAAGGAGTATACGCCTTTATTAAATGTATTATTACGAAACAATAATTGTTAAATAAATATTAATAACGAAATAAATATAGATATTGATTTTTTTATTATAGATTGTTTTTTTTTTACTTTGCAGAATATGTCAACATGATAAAATATGCAAACATCGTATTTTCTTTTACAGATCATTTCATCCGGTGTCTGGATTTCTGTTCCGGATGCATTTGCACGTCGCAACGGATGCGGACAGGCAGATGCCACGTGCACAGATGCAACGATGCAGCTCAGTGCAATGATGCGGCGGATTGTGTACTCATCGTCCGGATTACACATCATCACCTCGATCGGTGGTGAATCGATGCAAATAAAATCGCATCGCACGATCCGATCTCGTCTCGATGTGATCGCATAGTATCATATGATACCTCGTAACGATTTACAATGCACGGCGCATGTCTCCGCGAATATGAAATCTCGAGGAACTCGAGCATCGGAAATTCATGCTATAATGATTCCAAAAGGAATCAAAGTAGTGGATAAAAATCATAGCAGGAATCCTCAACAATTTCGAGGAGATAGTGGACGGAAGATTCTTCATTGAGGTAAAAATTTATTAAAAGTGGGCCACATGTATAGTTTGTTAAGTTACTTTCGTTGAGATAAGTTGTGAAATATCGAAGACTTGAACATTTTTTGCTCATCATTGTCTGATGGTGAGGAAAATCCGCGTGTCGATAAGACCAGACGGAGGTGCTGTGATGGCGGAGCCAATGACAGGTTATAACATAGTATCCTTCAGAACTTTATCTACGAGGAAATGCCCTTCTTTTGACGCAAATTCTTATTTTCTTAAATACTTGACGTAACAGCGAGATGAATTTGTTTACAATATTCTTCGTAAACAAAAAGTAAATACAACTACTATTATTAAGAGCGATAAAGATTTATGGTTTATTGCAGGATCGATTATTACAAAATATTAAGTATTTGTAAAGCGTCTTTAACTAATGTATGATAAATATGATTTTTTAGTAAATTATTAAGATATTTTCATTATATTTACAATAGAATATCTCAAAATGTACTGTGCCTTTCAATTGAATTCTAATAATTTGGATTTATTACAATTAATTCGAAATTATGTTATAAACTTCATCTACATTGTTTTGAGAAAATGTTTATCAGATATTTACTAGTTTACAGATTTTATATATGTATATCATTAAGTTTTATTGCATTTTAAGCATTATTTGAGAAAGTAAAAGACATCAATTAATGGTAAAATGATATTGAATATTAATAAATATCGCGAAATTCGGCACGCTTTGCCACTACAGAAGAGTTCTATATTTAACCAATTCAACGCAATATAAAGTACGACGTAGAAAATAATTAACAGCAAACAATAAACCATTATCAATCAAATTATATCGTCCAATTCACTTAAACCGATGGGGTTATTATCAGCCTGCTTTTTAATTTTCAAAAACAAAGGAAGGAAATTTAAATATATTCTGATATATATGGAAATTCGAAAAGAAAAAAAATAATAAACAAAAAATGTCTATATTAATCACTTCTTCTATTTTGTGCCATAAATTTTGTGTACAAGAGAATTGCAATTCGAAAAGAAAAAAATAATGAACAAAAAAATGTCTATATTAATCACTTCTTCTATTTTGTGCCATAAATTTTGTGTACAAAAGAATTGCAGTGTCTTTCTTCAATTATTAATTAGCATATATTTATTTTACATCAACATCAACCTTCCAACAATTTTAGATAAAATTATATACGTATAAACGTGTGTGTGTGTGTTTTTTTTCTTTTACACAAGCATACTTTCCTTGTGAAGAAGGTAAAAATTTTAATGCATGTAAAAAAATCTGTTGACGCTTTTCATATTTCAAATGATAACTTTCAAGCACAACGATATTTGTTTTTCTTATGTGTGCGTGTTAATTTTATTTTTTATTTTATGATGCTTTTATTTTTAATTAAGCTTCCAGTGCGCTTTACCCCTGAAGGAATATATTTTAACTATAAAAAATTTATGTAATACATACAAAGAGGATTAATTATTTAATGTTTGCACGATCCTTTGATCATTAAGGCTCACATGATTGCTCTTTGAAAAATAGAGAAGAACTTTATGTCGCGTCTCAAATATCGGAAGTAAACACAGTGACGCAACGATCGGTTTACTCAGGCATAGTAATCATCACGCGTCGTTGAATAATTGAGAAGGACCTTCAAACGCGTTGTGCGAAACGACGAAAAGACGTTTCCCTCTATCGTCCCTTTTTCCTCTTTCTATCTCTCTCTTTCTCCCTTACTCCACCTCGCAATTTTATTCCGCGGAACTCCTTTTAGAGGTGCTTCTACACTCAAAATAGGACCGTGAATTATTTGTGCGCCATTTGCCGCACCACGCTAAAACGAAGCAAAAGAGGATAGAAAGAAGCATGGAAGAGAAGCCAGATGAGTTGCATATACACGTAGAAGAACGTAAGCGAAACTAACGAACATGCCGCACGATCTTATGCTCGACCGAATAAAGTTGCAGAACCTTATTATAACTTTCAAGCAATAGATCGAGTCCGAGAAACGATGCCGAAAAGACGGGCAGATGTAACTGTATAGGGTGTTCTGAAAGTACACAGTGCTATCTGAGATTTAATGTTCGCGACCTACGTGAGAGTATAATATACGTAAAGATTATTAAAGAAGATAAATCATTTAATTGAGCACGAAAAATATAATATGTGAATTTATAATTTCAATTTGATTCAATATTGAAATGCGTACTATGTCACAGATAATTGTATTTAATTTTATTATTTTTTAACAAATTGTTTACAAAACAAACTCATTATTTTCAATAAAATTTATAACAATTGAGAATAATTTAAACAAAAATTAAAATTAAAAATTAACAAATTAAAAATGCTACATTACGAATTATTTACATTCATTATTTATACAGGGTGTCCCCTAAAGTCTGGGATCGGTCGAATATTTCATAAACTATGCACTTTAGAAAGAAATGTTTCAGACAAAAGTTATATGGCTTGAAGAGGGCCATCAGATAGTGGCAATGATTTGACCTTGGAGAGTCATTTGAAGGTGACGTAAAGATCACCTTCAATTTCTTAAATGGAACCCCCTACTTTTTATTACATATTCGTGTAGCTTATCTCGAGAGCTTTCCAAAACACTTTAATTAAATATTTCTTCATTGAGTACTTTTCGAGTTATAAGGCTTGAAATTATTTCTTAATTTTGCATAAATCATAAAATATCTAGTAAAATATTCATTTTTCGATTATATTACCTTAATACTTTTATACAAAATAATGAGAGGAATCAATTGGTGTAAAGAAAACACATAATTGTTTTAAAAAATATATATATAATTGTTAATTGCAAATTACATATTTTTTTCTTAAAAACAACTATGTTTTTTCTTTACACCAATTGATTCCTCTCATTATTTTGTACATAAAAGTATTAAGGTAAGATAATCGAAAAATGAATACTTTACAAGATATTTTACTGTTTATGTAAAATTAAGAAATGATTTCAAGCCTCATAATTCGAAAAATACTTAATGAAAACTAACTTAATTATAGTGTTTTGGAAAGCTCTCGACATGAACTACCAGAATATTTAATAAAAAATAGGGAGTTCCATTTAAGAAATTGACGGTGATCTTCACGTGATTTTCAAATGACTCTCCCATATCAAATCATTACCATCATCTGATGGCTCCCTTCAATGTTTTATACAACTTTTGTCTGAAATATTTCTTTCTAAAGTGCATAGTTTATGAAATATTCGACCGGTCCGGGACTTTTGGGACACCCTGTATAATATTACATTAAAATAATAAATAGTTTTTGTTTTACCAGACCAGAGATAGTAAATTTATTGCTGAGAACACGGTTAATTATCACGGTGATATACGTTTAATTAAAAAAAATACAATACAACTGACACGTGCAGCGAGTAATAAAAATATGTGCAAACAAAATGATCTCGTGATACAGTTCAATAACTGCCACCACTTTGATAATTTCTGGTATATACCGGCTTGCGATTATTAATCGTGCATTTTTGCATTTAATGCATAACTTTGCAGTTAACGTTAAGTCTAAATGTAATAAAAAATTGATCACAAATAGAGATATATTATATTTTTCTTTTATTTTTGAAAAATTTAAGATTTTGAATGTTTATCTTGTTTTTCTAGTTAATTATATTAAAATAATAAATAATGTAGGAACGTAAATTTTTTTTATGAAAAGATTAATTAGAAGAAGAGAATTAAATATTTTGTAAATATAGTCTCTTTTTTTAGAGGAATGCATGTACTGCGTAACAAGTACAGATTCGCATGCAGCGCGTTCAGGACACCATGTACAGAATATGAAAGAGGATGGGTCCAATTTGGATACAGCCGACGAAGATGTTTCTTTTTGCCGAGGAAGTACCCGTCCTCTTTTCTTTTTTTTCTGTTAGTTATCTTACGTCAATGGCGTATTTCTTTACTATTCAAAACAGACTATCCAATATTCGCGGTACGTATTGACGTAAATGCCAACAAGAATTCGTTACTTATTTGCTAAAAGCAATCAAAGGCTCGACCTAGTTAATAGAAAGGCGTACAATTTTTCGCGCGGTCTGGTCTGTCTTTCACGAAATATTTAATTGCATTTAAAATACATTTTTTTTTCTACTAAAATGCATTTCATGTCGTTTAATGAAAACGCCTTTATGGCGATGAAACCAATAATCGATTTGCTTTATATAGCGACAATGCTCTGACCCGTGATATAAATTAATCTATGAGAATAATTCTTTTTGAAGCTTTTTATCGAAATTATAATTTAGAGATCTATGATTCAAAGGCTTAAATCTTAATGGATGCAATGGAATGAATAAATTCTAATTTATTTGTAATTAATTTTTGAGCTAGTTGTAAAATTTTTTATAATAGAATTATAAGATTCTTATCTTTTTTATCAACATAATAATTAAAACCAATTTAATATCTCTTTTTATTGCTTAAGATTTTCTATATTTTATACATAATTTTTATAATTAAAAAGTTTCATCGAGATTATAATTTAGAGATCTATGATTCAAAGGCTTAAATCTGAATGGATGCAATGGAAAGAATGAATTCTAATTTATTTGTAATTAATTTTTGAGCTAGTTGTTTTTTATGACAGAAAATTTTTATGACAGAATTATAAGATTCTTATCTTTTTTATCAATATAATAATTAAAAACAATTTAAGATCTTTTTTTATTGCTTAATTTATACATAATTTTTATAATTAAAAAGTTTTATTTTTTATAAAAAGCGTTAAGTATATGAGACATGCAAAAACAATCGAATCTTTGCAACTTGTCTTCATGCAATTTGCCTTGTAAATTTTCCTAATAAAGATATCATAGATATCATGATGGTTATTTAATCAAGACTGCAATTTCTACAAACGTTTGTAAAATAAAACCAAGGAACAAGTAATACCGGATATTCTCCAAATTGGACCATTCTTCTTCTACATTATTTGCTGAAATTATTGTACATCAGATTACCAAGAAACTTGTGATGTGTGGAAACGTATCAAACGAATCGCAGCGTACGTTAAGAGAAGTTTTATCTATATATTCGTAATATATATATATACATATATATATATATATATATATATATATATATATATAATACATAGACTCAATCGATAAGATATATTTTTATATGTAAATATGGTGTTTCTTCTTGTTATCTTATTAATATTTTGCCGAGGTGATAGACAGGAACTAATAAAATCTCAATTGGAGATTTACGTGGTGGCGAAAACATGGCCATCGCGAAAGTCGTTGTAATTCGTACATTTTTCCTGATACGCAAGAAAAGATTATGAGCAACGTGCGAGGAGAAAACAAAGATGCTTAATGTCCTGCAGATATCC